TATACAATTCTCTGTGCAGCGCAAGGCAATACAATTTTGGGTCTACCCTTTAAAGTACTGGGCAATTCCTTAGCTGAATCTTCCCATGCAGAGCTAATCTCAGCATCTGTGTGTAAAGCTGCAGCTGCGTCTGTCCCTACCTGTATGTGTGCTGGTAAAGTGAAGTCCAAAGCCTGAGGGAGGGCTTAGCTAGCTTGCCTCAGCAATACAGTGTGAAGGAAACCCAGGCTGGTGGGTCAGGTGGGCTCAGTGGTAACCCAGTTCCAAGTGGCACGTAATATGGGCCTGGGCGTTGTAGCGGATCACAGATTGGATATTTGCCAACAATGCAATGCAGTTGCAAAGAAAACTAATATAATTCTGGTGTGTATTAATAGGACTGTTGTATGCAAGATATAGGAGATAATTGTTCCACTCTACTTGGAATTAGTGAGGCCCCAGCTGGAGTACTGAGTCCAGTTTTGGGGCACCACACTTTAAAAAAGAATGTGGACAAATTGCAGAGAGTCCAGAGAAGAATAACAAAAATGATAAAAGGTTTAGAAAACCTCACCTGTGAGGAAAGGTTAAAAAAACTGGGCATATTTAGGCTTGAGAAAAAAAGGCTGAGGGAGGGACCTGATAACAGTCTTCAAATATGTTAAGGGCTTTTATAAAGAGGATGATGATCCATGTCCACTGAAAATAGAATAAGAAGTAATGGGTTTAATCTGCAATAAGGGAGATTTAGGTTAGATATTAGGAAAAACTTTCTAACTAAAAGGATAGTTATGTATTGGAATAGATTACCAAGGGAGGTTGTGGAATCCCCATCGTTGGAGGTTTTCAAGAACAGGTTAGAGAAAGACCTGTCCCAGCACAGGGGGATGGACTAGATGACTTCTTGAGTTGCCTTGTAGCCCTAAAACTAATATATATATATATATATTTATATATATATATATATCTGTTGACATTTGTGTGCATATCACCTAGGAAGTGTTACTAAATTTACTTGTAATATTTAGGCTAACCACTCATCACACATTGTTTGCTGTTCATCTAGTCAAAGCATCAGCTTTTGCTGGTATCAAGCATTAAATTCAGTCTTGCATTATGAAATTTGAATATCTGTGTCTTGGAGCAGTATTGCAACATTGCATATTTTAGTACATATATCAGTATCTCCTACATAAAAGATCGCAATAAGACTTTTATACCACACAACGTATGATCATTGGGCAGAAAAAATAGTGGCCACTTTAGATTGCTTTTTATCACAGTTTTCTCTAATCTATGGTGCCAGTTAAGTGAATTATTATAACTTAAAGATTTTAGTTATTTCAGCTGGAAATGGTTATCAATTACATGAAGGTTAATAGTTGTTTATTTGGGAATAGAAGAAAATGCTGAACACTGGAACTGAATTTGCATCACATTATTGAGACAAAAATTAGAGTAAAATTTTCATTGAGGAAACAAAATGATTGGGAATGATAGCACAACAATGGGCACAGGAAGCTTATTTGTGGTAACCAAAAAGCAAATGAATCTGTCAGAAGAATAAAACAGAGTAGCAATGAGTTACAAGTGCTGAAAAGATAATTCAGAGACGTAGAATTTTTTGGCCTGAAGAAAATAACACAGAAGATTCTTCAAATGAAAATTCTCTGTATTTTAAAGGAAGCTGATTATGGAATCTTAAAAATGATAGAAAGTGTGGAATGTAAGAATGGATGTGCGAAACCTGAACAATTAAGCTAACTCTGAGAAAACAAACAGGAATGGAGAAGGCAAAAGTTGAATTAACAAGAGGACAGAATTGTTTAACAACAAGGGAAGTAAGTTTAGTTGTCAAAAGAAAAATAAAGGGGCAGGAAGAGTGGAAGAAAAGAGTTCAAAGTGGCTTCAGAAAACAAACAGGGAAAAATCTGCTCACATTACTCAAATTGGCCAGGATCAGATCAAAAATGAGAGACGTTAAAGCACTAGTTAAATGTGTCAAGGATGGCAAGAAAGATGAAGGGGTATGTGATATTTGGAAAAGTCAGAACAGGGAATAGCACACATGGACAGAATACAGAGACTTCTGTTATATGCCATTTGCTGCAGTGCTTCATCAAGGTTAACTTGAGGTGATAAAGAAATTAATCCTGTCAGAAGATAGTACAAGGCACTCAGAATATTTCATATTAGAAAATATATAATTCAAGTTTTGATTTTGAAATGAAAGATGTAAAAATGGGGAGGCTGTGGAAAAAATCTCTCTTCCTGGTTAGAACTGAAGCAAGGAGCTGTACATTTTGTACAGAACACTCTTCAGAGTAATTACTGATAACTTTTTGTTCAGACAACCGAAGTGACTGACATGAAAGTTATCATTTGCAATCCATATAGTAGTTCTTTACAGAGGTTTGACTTTTTTTGTCCGCCCCCCCCCCAAATGTTCTTTAGAAAAATATACATTAAGGCTTGAGTTTCCCTGTTAGATCAGCTATTATGAAGGCTTCAACATAGAATTTAAAAATGTTTTGATGTGGTATTCTGATTTCTAAGCAGTAAGGAAAGATTTGCACTCCAGGAGTGAAATCCTGGCCCCTTTGAAATCAATGGGATTTTTTCCATTGACTTCAGTGGGGCCAAGATTTCACCCAGGGGTGGGTTTTTCCTTGTTGAGAGATAGATAAGTGGATGCAAGCTCAGGGTATCTGTTCCTACTCCTGCATGTAGATCCTGTCATTGCTTTGAGCACAAAAGCTAATCAACTGTAAAAACAACAGCAAAACTTACAACTCACAGAACTCCTGAACACAAAGCATCTGTGTTCACACCTTCAGCTAGCCAACAGTTTCTCTCACCAAACACTGTCTGACCTGCTGTGAGATATGCATGCAATTGTATCTGTGTTGGTCCCAGGATATTAGAGAGACAAGGTGGGTGAGGTAATATCTTTTATTGGACCAACTTCTGTTGGTGAGTGAGACAAGCTTTTGAGCCACACAGAGCTCTTCTTCTCTGTGTGGCTCGAAAGCTTGTCTCAGTCACCAATAGAAGTTGGTCCAATAAAAGATATTACCTCACCCACCTTGTCTCCCTGCTGAGAGATATGTCTGTTTTAACCCCTCCATCTCCCCAAATACATTAAAATCCTTCAAGAATATGTTCCTGGGCTTCCACTCAGTAACCAGCCACATAAACAATATATCAATCAAAATTATAATAGCATTTTAGTCAGTTGTCCAAATTTAACTCTGGCTTAAGTGGAGACAAATTCATTACCTTATGTCAGCATTAAATTTGGCCTGATATTTTTGCATCTGTCAATTAGACAGAAGGCTTATGTGTTCTGCTAATTACTTCTGTGGACCCTCTGAGCCCATGAGAGAATAGGTGCTTCAAACCCACAGTAAGAGGAAACAATGTGGTAATTATTGTCAAAGTTCTTCAGTCTGATGCTGATGCCTCTAAGCACCAGATCATTAACCTAATTCAGCAGAGTATTGAGATAATCTCCTGTGATTTTTAAATGGACTCTTTTGATGGGAAATCTCTCCTATTTCATATAAGCTGTAACTTAGAGCAATAAATAATACATTTGATAGTATATTAACACTCCTTGGATTTTGGACTTGCAGCTAGCAACAGTTTAATTAAGCTTCATAAGGTGTCCAATGTGCTGTTACTTAGGTTGCTGAGAAGCTGAATAATGAATTACATTTCCAGTATCTTTATAAATTTTAGGGCAAGATTGTGATATGTACTGTTGGTTTGTACATGTGGAGAGAGCATAATCTGTGAGGCTGCTACTTCACGCTTACTTTCACAGGTGGGTGGAGAGTGGATGGAGCCCTTGGCTGGTCCTCTCAACATGCCACTAGGAAGTAATCTGCTATTGGTAAAGAGCAGGAGCAGACTGTTTTCTCCTTTTAAGCAAGGGGATTTGGGGTTTGAATCTCATTTACTTTCCAAAGCTGCTTTGTGGGTAGCACCTCTATGCACTATCCCTTATTCATAGCAAAATATAAAGTTTCAGTCTTGCCATTAATTTGTCACAGTTTTTAAGGAAATAGAAACAAAAATGTACATGAAAACTATTAGCCTTTTTCATTATTCCTTTTTTACTTGTAATGCTTAAAATGGATATGAAAATGGTCAAGATTAGTTAAATAAATGTGTTTCATATAGGATTTTTTTCAGGTATTATTGTTTTCCCTTTACCTCCTTCATTGCAACCGCTAAGGGTATGTCTACACTGCAATTAAAAACCCACGGCTGGCCCGTGCCAGCTGACTCAGGCTCATGGGGCTCTGTCTTCAGGGCTGTTTAATTGCAGTATAGATGTCCAGGCTCGGGCTGAAGCCTGAGCTTTAGGACCCTTCAAAGTGGGATGGTCCTCATAATGTCTACACTGCACTTAAACAGCCCCTTAGCCCAAGTCAGCTGGTGTGGGCCAGCCACGGGTGTCTAATAGCAATGTATACATACCCAGACACAGACAGTGATTCTCTTTCAGACTCAGGCCCATTCTGAATCCTGTCAATGCCTTTGCGGTCTCAATCAGTGGAGGTTGTTCAAGAGTCATATAAAGCGTTCCCTTCTCCTTTAGTGGGATTGTGCTGCTCCAAGCTCTGACATCTGCATAGCATTGTGTTGTGCTGACACAGGAGTGCTTTCTAGTAAGTCCATTTCTATAACAGGTATTTATTTTACATATTTTAAAGAAATATATTTTGGTCTGGTATACAGAAAATAATATTCATGTATTCATATTCCTGCCACAATTCATTTTTCAGTGGTGCTTTTACTTGGAAGTTTATCCCTTTTCCTTAGTTTATATTTGTTTAACAAGTATGTATTTAAGAAAGTGTAACTATATGTAGTTGAATGGGACACAGTAAACATCCCTTTAACTGATATGTTTATTATGAAAATAAATCTGATTTTACCAAACAGGCCTTCCTCTTGAAAGTTAATAATATTCCATTGTTTTGACTGAGTTGTAAATTTTTTTACATTTTAAGAGTACTACGAGGAGGTGTACAATAACCAACTTAATTTGGCCTACTGCTTCAACAACACTGAGGACAAATGGTTAAGGAATTACTTTTATGAACAATGTTTTAGCACCGCTCAGCTAATCAAAATCGATGGTGGGAAAAAAGAGGCTGAAGCGCATGCAAATATGGGCCTTGTCAATGAGGAACAAGGTAAGTAACAGTTTATATCATTACATCAAAATGTATTTCCATTTTCACACAGTCACATTCTGTTGGTCTATATTTATTTACTCTGCACAATATTATACCATAATATATTATGTAATGCTAAAATATCTGTGGGTTTGTGAAGTAGTCATAATTTAAATTTTTAGATCAGCAAATCTACAAATAGAACAGTTCATCATTAGAGACAGAATTTTGCACCCCAGTTGTAGTTTGAAGGTTCTCATTCAAACTGAAGACAAGCTATATGAACAGAGGAAGCATTTCTTTATAAATAAAGATGTTCCCTTGCTTTAAGTTTACCTCCTTTCATCACGTGCTGTTTGTTCAACGTCTCACTAGCTAATGTTGTCGCAGATTGTGAGCCTGTGATATCAATGAGAAAAGATGTTAATATAAGCAACAATTGACTTCATTGCCACATTTTAAAAATTGTGCTAGTTTTCATGGCAGAAAGGTTTGGGTGTATATGACAGGGTCCGTGTATGAAGGAGGTTTCTCTATACTTAATACTAGAAAAGAAAAACAATGAGCAAATTTTTCACCACAGGTAATTTGTTCAAATTTAGCCTCTGTTTCTACTTGCTAAATGTACTTTAGCTGTTTATGATTTCTTCAAATGTATTTGTGTGAATATTCAGTTTATAGATTGACCACAGACTTTTAGATATATTGCTTCAGTGTGATTGACCATGTAAGAAACAAGTATCAGGGGGTAGCCGTGTTAGTCTGTATCTACAAAAACAACAAGGAGTCTGGTGGCACCTTAAAGACTAACAGGTTTATTTGGGTGAAAGCTTATGCCCAAATAAATCTGTTAGTCTTTAAGGTGCCACCAGACTCCTTGTTGTTCATGTAAGAAACAGTGTATTGTTTCTATTCTCTGATTTGATGAACAAGCAAGCACTTCTGGCATGAATCCTTGTCTATATAATTTTCATGAATACTTGTGTATGTAATTTTGAAATCTGCTTTCCACAAAAAATGTTGCTGATAAAACTCAATCATTCCAATGTTGTCAGGAAAAAAATGTACAAAGGGTCATAGGTGTGGCAGAAGTTAATTTGTTAAAAAATCCTGAGCTATATTCAAAGAAAATATTTGAGGTATCTGTGATATTAAATTGTATTATTTGAGAAATAGAAAAGTAGAAATGTAGCGCTGGAAGAAACCTCACCTGGTCATCTAATCTGACACCTGGGCTTTTTAAAAGAACTGAGCGAGCGGTCAGTCTGGAGTTGAAACCACAATGATCAGGCAGACTCCTGTGAAGGGCCCTGAGTCAGGGTTTTCAGGAGAAGGATACTCCATGGAAACAAGCCTGGGGACAGCATTCTTGCCCAGAATGGAGAATCTTTAAGGTAGCCTAGAAAGGGGCTGGGAACAGGGCCCACAGGGTGGGCTGAAAAAGAAGGGGTTATGTTTGTTGTAATTTGGCTAGAGGACTAAGCCACATCTCCAGTACAGACTGATGTGTGGAGAGCTGAGGAGACACACCTTGGGGGAAGGAAACTGAGTCAGGGAGCACCTGTAGTGCCATACTTGACCAATAGGGAGCACACTGTTATAACTGACAGCTGAATATGGGCCGGTGTGTTTTACTGATATGATGGCTAAGGTCTGTTCTGTTCCATATAGGTTCTTCCTATATAGTGTGTACCATGCTTATCACTGTAGTATCTCGGTACTTTTCAGTAGTGCATTAAGCAATGTGATTAACATCATTCACATGAGGAATATTATATCATGTTAAACTTATTAATTTGTTAACCTCTATACCAGATTTTCAGATAATGTATTATGTCTGTAGGAAAAGTGACCAAAAGGAAGAAAGGACTCTGAATGCGCAAAAGCCATGTACTTTGAATGGGTTGTACCAAATTAGATTGAATGTGTGTCAGTCTAACTTAAAAAACAGAAAAAATTAAAATAGGTATCTAATCTTTTTGTCTTTTTAAAAGCAGTTGAACAAAACTACTTCAAGTAAATGTTATAGATATGAAAAAACAGCAATTCTACTTAAACCAATAATTAACTAAGCACTGGAACAATTTATCTAGAGAGATTGTGGAATCTCCATCATTGGAGGCTTTTCAGAACAGGTCAAACACCTGTCAAGGATGGTCTAGATCAGTGGTCTCCAACCTTTTTACACCCCAGATCACTTTTTGAATCTAAGGGCAACCCAGGAAATACCACACTCCTTCCCCGAGGCCCCACCCCTTCCCCAAAGCCCTGCCCCACTCACTCCATTCCCCGCTTTCCATCGCTCGCTCTCAGGGGCGGCTCTAGGCACCAGCTAAACAAGCTGGTGTCTAGGATGGCAAAATTTATGGGGCGGCAAAATGCTGTGCTACCGGCTCCCGCCTGGGGGGGAAGTGGCCGCTGCCCGCAGGAGACCGGCGCGAACAAGCCGAGGAGCGGCCCGTCCTCTGAAGCCGGGGCAGGGCCAAGGCGAAGCCCAAGGATGAGCAGGGCTGGGATCCAGCAGCAGCCCCAACCCCTGGCCCTGGGAGCGGCGGTGACCAGAGATGACTCCACCTCAGGCCAGATCTGCAGCAAGGTAAGAGTCGGGCCAGGCGGGGGAGGGTCCCCAGGACCCCTGGGGAGCTTCTGCCTGCTGGAGCCCCAGAGGCTGCTGCCTCACTCCCCAGCCCCTCACAGCACTCCAGTGCCTGGAGTCTCCTTCTGCCTCCCCCCCTGCAGGGAGCGAGCGACCTGGCAGAGAGGGGCAGCATCTGTCTAGCAAGCCCAGCACCTCTTCCTTGGCTCCTCCAGCCACAGAGCTCTCTCCATTGCATGCCCCTCGGGCTCCCAGCTGGGCGGCCTCAGCGCTGGGAAAACGCCAGCAGGGCTGGGTCCAGTGTGTATCCGAGCTCGTGGGGAGCTCTCTCGCCCCAATGACTAGCACCTTATCTACGGCAAGTACAGTAGTGCAATAGGAGTGTGACGTGAAAAATATCATGTCATGTTGTGACACGGTCACTCAAATCACGATTACGTGTGTGTACTGTGCTGCCCTGTCGGCGCCATTCGCGCTAATTTCCATTTTGCCTCGGTGCCAGTGGTTATAGGGCTAAAATGCCTGGACGAAAATGACTTTCTGGTGCTGCTTACCAGCAACAAAGAGAGAAACGTCAAAAAGAATTAGAAAAACTATCTCGTACTTCAAAAAAGTATTTTAAAAAAGTCGACAATCAAGGAGAAAGCTCTAAGCAATGCTTTGAAGGTGATTATTCATCAACTGATGAAGACCAATCGAACCAAAGATTACCTTTATCAACTGATAAAGATGAACAACAATCTGACCAAAGATTATCTTCACTAACTGATAAAGACGAACAATCACAATCCATCCAAAGATTTACTACTTCAGCTGAAGAGTCCAGAAATGAAGAACTGTTATCCAAATCTAAAACTGAAGAACAATTATTGGAAGGTGGAGAGACTGACATAGGATCGGAACCAAGTACATGGCCGACAATAATTACTGATACAATGCGAATTATTATTGTGAAAAAAGGTCCTTCAAAACTAGATCCTACATTTGAATATCCATTTAATGAGTCAAATCGTCAATTTATGCCATCCAGTCTGAAGAAAAAAATGAAAAATGGGGAACAAATTAATAGATCTTGGTTAGTGTATTCACAGACCAAAGATGTAGTTTTTTGTTTTTGCTGCAAACTGTTCTGTAACTCGGACATTTTTCTGGCAACTGCAGGTTTTAATGACTGGCGAAATTTGCATCAGCATTTGAAAGAACATGAAACATCAAAAAATTTACGCTCATTGACAAATTGGATTGAGCTGTCAAACAGATTACGTACTGGTACAACATTCGATGCGGTACAGCAACGTCAACTAAATTCAGAAATTCTACGTTGGCAAGCAGTGTTGGAACGTTTACTGGCAATCATTAATTTCCTAGCCGAACAGTGCCTCGCATTCCATGGATCCTCGGATATTTTATATGAGAATAACAATGGAAATTTCTTAAAATTGGTTGAGTTATTGGCAAAATTTGATAATGTTATGGCTTAGCATGTACGAAGAGTGAAAGATGGAGAGATTCACACCCATTATTTGGGTAAAAATACACAAAATGAAATAATAGAATTAATTTCTAAAGGAGTGCGTAATGAAATTTTATCGAATTTGAAACATGCCAAATATTACTCAATTATAGTTGATTGTACTCAAGATCTGAGCAAAACCGAGCAAATGTCAATAGTTTTACGATTTCTGAAAATTGATGAAAATGCAGAAGTGAAAATTTGTGAACACTTTCTAGAATTTATACCAGTGAATGAAACTACCGGGAAAGCCCTCACAGATGTAATTCTACAGAGATTGGAACACTATGGAATACCTTTAGAAAATATGCGCGGCCAAGGGTACGATAACGGCTCAAACATGCAGGTGTACAGCAAAGAATATTGAATTTAAACAATCGAGCTTTTTTCATTCCTTGCCATGCGCATTCGCTCAATCTGGTTGTCAGTGATGCCGCCAAATCATCTAAAGATGCCGTTTCATATTTTACCACAGTGCAAACAATTTACAACCTTTGGAGTGCTTCCACACACCGTTGGGCAGTCTTGAAGAAGCATCTTGAACAAAAACTCACACTTAAACCTCTGAGTCAAACTAGATGGGAAAGCAGGATAGAAGCTATTAGACCACTCCGATATTCATCAGGAGAGATTTATGATGCACTATTCGAAATAAGCCAGGACTTGTCCTATGATCCTTCATTTCGACATGAAGCTGAAACATTGGCTCAGAAAATGATGCAGTTTCAATTTTCATGTTGCACGGTTATTTGGCACAATATTCTAAATCAAATTAATTTGACCAGCAAAGTTATGCAGAACTTAACCAGAGACATATCCGAGGCAAAGATGATTTTGAATAAAACGCTGGAATATTTAAAAAAATACCGTTCAGATGAATGATTTGAAGAAACTGTCAAAGAAGCAACA